GTACAGCTGGGGAGATTCTGCACCCCACCTCCCAACCAGTCCTTTACTTCAGAGAAGCAATTCACTTCCACTATAAACATTAAGCTTTTGTCCAAGATTATGTTGGAAGAAAGGATTCTTCTCTTTATAAAGCTTAAAAATCCTGAATTAATACAACAAATACAATAGTAGGTGTTTGTGCATCTTTGGGATAATAAGAAAAGTGCCTAAGGATTTGTATTTGATGATAACCACAATATGTCTGAGCATATACAACCACCCGGGCACTGAACTTGACTGAGCAGGCAGCATGTCACGTGACCGGATCTGTGGGCCGGACTGGGCCTCCTCTGGTGGAGTAATACTCACTCTGAACTCTGGGTGAAGTCATTATCATGCTTGTTTATATAATGAGTAAACTGACATGCACAAATACAGTAAAATTTGGGGGCTGGCAAAAATAAATGAACCAATTCTATGACTAAACTTGGTTCATATTCTTATATTCAGGTTGTTAGTTCAGATCTATAGGCCTCCAACTTCCTTTAAGAGGATGAATACAGTCATTACTTGTGTTATTTTGTAGAGGATTGTCATGAGTAAATTATCAGTTTTTGTAATAAGAGCAACTATTTCTTTACCTTTCAAAGAATGTAAAAAAAACACACAGAGAAGGGTTTTGTTTCATATGAGGTGAGATCAGAGTTAAAGGTCGTGCTCAGGGTTCCTTTCTGGCGTGGACTGTGTAGAAACGTTCCCTCTTTCCATGTCTGGAAGCAGGCAGGCAGGTGACAAATATTCATTCATTCGGTATATATTATTGAGTGCCCACCACCACTGGGCATAGTGGTAAATGTAGGGGATAAATAGTGAATAAGACTCCAGCACTGCCTTAGAATCTGTATTCTAATGTGGAATGGGCACGTAGTGAATACATACACGTAGCAATTATAGAATGTGATAATTCCCATGATGTACTCAACAGGTTGGGGGGGGGGGTCCTTTTAGATAGGGGCTGTCTAAGAAGGGCCTCTGGGAGGCAGAAGCCTGAGTGCATTTTAGAAGGCCGCAGCTGGCCTCTGCCGACTGCCACGGCCATAAATGAGTGGCACTTACTGCACTTGATAGCTAAATGTGTGCCATCTGCACCAAAGAATTAAAATGCTGTGGGCGCCCTGAGGGGCCAATATAGTTGGTGACTGCCTGAATAGGAACAGAAAAACACAGCACAGTTAATTTATTAAATGCATACTTTTTCCTTCATTTATCAGCACTGTGTTTTATTCATTTCTTTCATGCAAAGATGGCCTGAAGGACTTAAAAGTAATATATGCAAGATCTCTGTCCTTCAGCATGCCCTAAAATATTGTTTTCGCAACTGTGGAGAATCCTCATCACACATGTAAGAAATGCATCTATAATGAAAGTCCTTCTTATATTATTACTGTACAAGTGGCAAAGGAATAAAATAGACTTTCTAAAAATGGGTTTAATTTTTAAAATCTCTACATAACATTTAAAATATATTAAAGAGAGAACATGGTTATTAAGTAATAAGACTTCTGTCAATAGAATTTTCCAACTTACATTGCTATTCTTTCATTTTTATTAGTTGAGCTTTCTTATTGTTCTTTTAAAGCCAGTCAGTGGGTCATGTTTCTTAAATAAAAATATCTGAAAGATAGATGCAGACAAAGCAGATTCAGATTTACAGTAGAAATACTAGACCTCAGTCTCTTCCGAGCAAGTGTAACTCACCCATCTATCCAGCCATCCATTCAATATTTATTGAGTCCACTAAACCTATAGGTAGAACATGCTGGAGCCAGAGTGGTGTATTACGGCCTGCGGGCTGGCCCCCGGGCTGGGTGAATGCTGCTAATGTTCTTTCTCTGCATAGTTACTGTGGCAATTTTCTGGGAGGCATGTAAATAGCCAACATGTGGTTAGATGGCCTAAAATAAAGAGCAATTTGAAATTAGTCAATGTGATACCAATGAACTGACAGGATGAATTCAGGAAAAATACAAAAAGCGGTTTACCTGGGAACCCCAAAGAAAAGAAAAACTTATATCACCAGGAAAGTTCAGTAAGGCATCTGTTTACAATATAAGAGATCACTAGTTTCTTTATGTACCAGTTTAAGAACATTATGATTAAGAAGCATCTTGTTCAAAACAGCAAGAAAAATAGAATAGAATATGTCTAAGCATAAACTTAACAAGAAATATACAGGACCTGAACTAAGCAAAGCACAAAATCTAAATAAAGACCATTTAAAAGTTTTACATTTTTTAATTAGTTAATGTTATCAGTACTCTTCCTGTATTTATTGGTTCCCTGTCATGCTTGAATTAGAATTTCCATTCTAAGATTTGAAAAATTCAATAGTATTTTCTTTAAAACTTGGCTCAAATGCCTTTGCTATCACAGAGATGTCCCTGATCAGAAGTTAGCCCCCCAAATCCTCTCTTCCTTTATATAAAAATCACATTGCACATCACATCCTGCCTTATTATTAGTTATTTTTATTATTCTCCAAAGTCTTCTAGTAGATTGTAAGTAACCAAGGGAAGAAACCCCACTTTGAATATCTATGTATGTACTCCAGTATCCAGAATATGCCTTGCATTCAGTGCTACTTAAATATTTATGTAATTGAATTAACTGGTACTGTTTGTGTATATATCCAGTCCTCGCTAATTAGATATAAATTTATGTGAAAATTTGTGACTAGTTATTTTTTGCTTCGAAGAACTGTTCTGCCCTCTCTAGACCTGAGCCACACCCATTAAGAGCAGCACATGAGACTGGGGTCCTAGGACTTGCCAAGTGACTGGTGACCAGAATACCTAAGTGAGTAGGCAGGTCAGGCAAGGTGGTTTCTAGCACCAGGGGTGGCAAGTGTGGAGCCATAGCACCAAGTGGCATGAGCACATGCACACAAACACACACAGTGTAAGTGGGGCTGAATCACCTAACAGCACGACCATTCTGCCCCCAACAGTGGCATAGATTCCGCCTTGGTCATAGGTCTGACTGGTGAAGTTTTGGTGATGTCAAAGACCAGCTGTATATAGGTAGGTAGACAGGCTCTCAACTAGTTAAATACATTGAGTTATCAGCTCAGATGGATTAGTCCATTGCAGCCCCTATGCCCTTTATCCATTACTGGTTCCATTTCCTCTCTTCATTCTCTTGAGCCCATTCAAATATGGCTTTCAATCCACCAAAACTGCTCTGGTCAAGGCAATCAGTGACGTCTGGGTTGCTAAATGCAGTGGTCAATTCTCAGTCCTCACCTTACTTGACCTGCAAGCAGCATTGACCCACCTCACGATTCACTGTTCCTAGACGCTTCATTTGACTCTCAGGACACGATGCTCTCCCAGCTTTTCTCCTACCTCACTGGATGGTTCTTCCTGAGCTCTTACCACTGAGCAAACCTAAGGTGCAGTCCTCAGGCTGCTTCCTTTTTCTACTCATATTCATTTTCTTGGCGATCCCATCCAATCTTATGGCTTTCAATTCTATTTGCAGACAAATTCCAAATTTTATCTTCTCCGGCCAGACTCATAGATCCAATTGCATACTCAACATCTCGTTTAGCTAAAAGACATCTCAGACTTCCATTCCGAACTGAACTCCCACTCTTCCCCCAAATCTTCTCTTCTCACAGCCTCTCCATTTCAGGAGATGACAACCATCCAACTAGTTTTTAAAACAAATAACCCTAATGCTATGGGTGGATTAAAGGAAATGGAATATGTAAAGAACTTAGCATACTGCTGAGCAGTCAATGCACAATAAATGTTAGCTTCTATTATTTCTGGCTTTTCTTTTCTAGAAGGTTTCAAGAGGAGATCTGACTTGTAAAATTGAAGTTATCAGCTCCTTTTCATAATAACTAAATTTTATTCTTAGACACATGCAATTTCCATTTTAAGATTTCAATTAAATGAATTGAAGAAAATAAAATGTGCTACTGTGCTCATGGCTTAGCTTCTGAAAAAGAAGAAAAGCCACCTTTCCCAGTAAAACTGTTACAGATAAGAACCAAAGAAAATGTTACATAGCACAATGGCAATTTGAAGCATTAGAAATCTTCTCTTACCTAGCAGTAATTTTCAGCTAATCAGACAACTTGATCCTAGAAAATATTTTAAATGCATGGTTATATGAGATGTTAATATGCTATTCCCAGCTGTACACAGCTCTAGTTTCACAACCTGAAAGAATTTTGGGGATATGAGGAAAGTCATGGAATGTTTTTACAAAAGCTGGGATAAGTGGCCTCATATTATTAACCTGCAGTCCCACTCACTCTGTCATCCCACCTAATTATTAAGAATTTACTAGAAACTTTCTACCTATTAACAGTAGTATCTGAGTTATCAACTACATTGCAATAAGCCTTAATTATATAGGAAGCATCTTGGGTAAGTACACAATGCATAGATTAGACACATGGATATTGCTAATTTCACATTTAACCTGGCCCTTTAATATTTATGGTTTGCTAATACATATGGTAAGAGATGGTTTTTGGATAAGAAACAATGTTCATCTAATTTTAATGTTCATGGAAAATCACATTTATTCTTTTATCCATTCTCCTATCTTCACTTTCCTCCACTCCCTCCCCTATATATATATTTATATATGTCACCTACCATGTGCTGGGTAATGAGAAAAAACACTTTAACTCTTGTGTATAGCTCAACAGCTAGGTAGTAATGGCCTTGGATGTTTTAAAAGGGGGGAAATAACCTCAATATGAGATTTCAGTGGTTGACTGTGCTTAATTTGTTATTAGCTTTTCTTTGTCCATATTTAATTATATATTAAATTCGATGGTATTCTGATATTTTATATTCTCTAAAATTTATTAAATTTTGAAAAATTTATATTTTACATTACTTTTACTGAGTTACTTTTGCATATAAACTCCCATTGTGGGATCATTTTAGCTAGTCTATATATACTTTACATGCTAATTTTTATTTGTTTATTTTTTGTAGGAAGTCCTGGCTGAGCAAAGTTGGAAGTCCCAGTTCTCGCATTGACCGCACGGACTTTTCTAATGAAAAAACCATCTCTAAACTTGAATATTCTAATTTTAGTATTCGATACTAATAGAAATGATAATATATAGACTGCATTATAGACACTATATATTCTTATGTAGTAGGGTAATAGTAGCAGAGTAGTAAAAAAAGGAACACTGTTCTGAAAGCTACATTATACAGATTACTAAAAATGACACTGAAATAGTTTTACTCAACTGTTTTTCACTAATGCAAAAATTAGTATCTAAAATAAAAATGTCATTATAAAATATTTAATATGAGTATTTAATTTAAACTTGTCTCATGGAAACTAATTCTAATGAATGTTATAGCTTACATGTTATTTGGCTAGGCTAGACATAAAATAATAAAGTTAACCATTTAAAAAGTATTTTTAGGTACTGTTATCTGATTTGAATTCTAAAACCTTCCAAAAAAGAAGTGTTATTAAAGTTAAGTAATTTTAATTACTCAAAAAGAACCAGTAGTTAGATATAAACGTATATGATTATTAGTATAACCCAAAAATAGTATCAAAAAAGAGTTGAATTTTTAAGTTCTGATTAAGTGAGAACATGGTTCAGTACTTGGGTTGGCGCGCCTTAATGCATCTGTGAACTACTTTGTTCTGTATAGTGAACAGATGAGCGATGGCAACTGACTGAGAACCCACAATTTCAGTATAGCAAGCAGCAAGGTTTGTATCAACAACCCTCCATGATGGATATCCCTTACCCAGAACAACTGAGAGTCTCAATAAATCATACTATCCCCCAAATTTGGCCTATCATTTGGGGATTTTCACATGTAAATGATTTTTAAGGGGAAGTTTCATTTCTATACTACAGAATTACACGATTGAGAAAGGAAGACCTTTAACTCAAAATTTCAAATGTTGTGGGCATATACTTGTATAGATCCTTCAATGACTTACAAAATTTTAAAACAATGAAATCCTTCATTCAAAAGAAATTTACGTGGAATTTATTTCGTAAAGAAGGTGAAAAGACACAACCGGCATGATTGAAATGGGGCTGGGGGACCCTGGAACACTGCACATTTGGTCACGCTTTCCCTCCTGCATCTTGTCCTCCTTGGGGATGCAGGTTAGAAACCACCACTCTATCCATGGAAGAAATGTCCACTGCTGCCCTCCATGGCTTAGAGAAAGAATTCGGGCCTCTCTCCTATGCCTGCTGCAAGATCAGAATTGAGAAAAGGAGATGAAGAGTGGGCTGACTTTGTTCACTTGAAAGGTTAACTCCATGGCTGATAATATTGATATCAAATATATATGACAACACATTAGGGAATGACAAAGATATTTTTTAAACTTTCCAATACATGTAAAGAAATAAAGAACTTTCCTATTACTTTATAACATCATCATCATGTTAAGTATTCTATGTGTCAAATATTATACAGGAGAATCTATTCTGATACTCATTTGAGTTTTGCTCTCCTGGTTTTACCCACTCCTGGTTCAAGGAAGGTGGACAAGTCTTTGGGTTCCCTTACCTCAGGAGGGTTTTGGTGCCAGATCCCCTGGAGACAACATTCCTTGGAAGGTTTCATTTTAAAGAGGGCATTAGGTTGTGAGTTGAGGGGAAAGATAAACAGAGGCCTTTAGCAGGTAAAAGAGAAGCCAAAGTGACAGAGCCAAAGAGACAAGATTATTCAATACTTTGCAAAGGGACGAAAAGCCGTGGGTTTCCTAAGAGCTGGAGACCTGCGCCTTTCTCCTCAGGGCGCCTCTGTGGGATGGTTAAACCTGAGAAGGGAGCACCTGTGGTACATGCAGAAGAGCTGAATCCCAGCTGCAGGGGCTTCCAGCCAGATTCCTATCCCCAAAAGTGCTGCAAAGTATCCTGATGACAAAGGACCATGGTGGTGTGGACAGTAGTCATGGTAACTGGTGTGGACGGGAGACTTCCTCTTAATGCTCTCTCTGCATAAGGACCTTTACATGGTCGTTCTGCGAGAGGGCGCGAAACACCAGGATGGCACACTTACCTTCCCACCCACCGGACAGGTGGGGCTTGAAGCGGGCTCGGCTTCATTTAGAGAAAATAAAACGGGCATTTCTTGCACAGTCAAGTTTGAAAAAAAACAACACCTGTATGTCTTTATACATAAAAAGGCTAAGTGATTTTGGAAAAAGATAATCTCCGATGTGACACCAATATGTCACTTTTTATTACCCTGCTATGCTCTGCGAGTCCCCTTCCCAGCTCAGGTTACTAGGAAATCACAACTTGCTGGCACAATCTTCTAGCTGCACAAACTGAATCACAGTAGTTAAGGTTGCTTAATGATTAATACATAACAATTCTATTACTGGGTGAGAAATATTGTAAATAATTATTAAAAGTAGGTGTTCATGAATGGGTAGAAAGCAAGAGAAAAAAATGGTAAAGCAATGTGTAGAGGCCAGATACATTTTAACATTAAACATAATATGTCAAATTTCATATGGACTTACACAAAGAAGTTTTAATTCATATGTCACATTTGAATAATAACTGATACATTTAGTTTTGTTCAAATGAGACATTTTAAAAAACAAAAATATTAAGCAAAAGGTGGGTATCTACTTCGGTAACTATCAACCAGGAGTCTCAACATTCCACCTGTCCACACCTGTCTCTGGAAGCAACATATAAGAATTATGGGAGTATTATTTATAAAAGCAAACTTAATTATTTTTCATATTTATATAAAAATAACTGTCTTTATTTTTACTGACATTAAGACCGGCATGTAGATAAGTGGAACAGAATAGAGAGCGCAAAAATAAACCCATGTGCATATATATAACAAAGGAGGCAAGAATATACAATGGGGTAAAGACAGTCTTTTCAATAAATGGTATTGGGAAAACTGGACAGATACATGCAAAAGAATGAAAATGGATCACTTAAAAGTTTTTGTACAGCAAAAGAAACTATCAACAAAACAAAAAATCTACTGAATGGGAAAATATATTTACCAATTATATATCTAATAAAGGATTAATATCCAAAAGATAAAAGGAACTCATATAACTAAACACCAAAAAAAGAAGAGAAAAAGAAAAAAGAAAGAAAAAAAAATCCAAACTATCCAAATTTAAAAATGGGCAGAGGACCTAAATAGAAATTTCTCCAAAGAGGACATACAGATGGCCGATAAATATATGAAAAGATGCTCAACATCACTAATCGTCAGGGAAATGCAAATTAAAACCACAAGGAGATATCACCTCACACCTATCAGAATATCATCAATAAATCAACAAATGAGTGTTGAGGATATTCAGAAAAGGTAACTCATGTACTGTTGGTGGGAATGTAAATGGGTGTAGCCACTGTGGAAAATAGTGTGGAGGTTTCTCAAAAAATTGGAAATAGAGCTAACATGACCCAGCAATTCCACTTCTGGATATTTATTTTTAAAAAATCCAAAATTCTAATTTGAAAGATATATGCACCCTTATGTTTACTGTAGCATTATTTACAATACCCAAGATATGGAAGCAACCTCAGTGCCCATCAATAGCCAACTGGATAAAGAAAATGTGGTACATTTATAACGGCGGAATATTACTGTCATGAAAAAGAATGAAATCTTGCCATTGTGACAACATGAACAGACCTAGAGGTATTATGCTAAGTGAAATTAGACAGAGGAAGACAAAGACCATAAGGTTTCACTTATATGTGGACTCTAAAAAACAAAATAAACAACAAAACAGAAACAAACGCCTAGATGCAGAGAATAAATTGACGATGGCCAGACGGAAGTGTGGCGGGGTGGGGGGTGGGTGGTGGTGGTGAGGGGATGGGGGAAAAGGTGAAGGGAACAAGAAATACAAACTGCCAGTTATAAAAACAGTCATGGAATGTAAACTACAACAGAGATTATAGTCAATAATATTATAATAACTGTATGGTTTCAGATGGGTACTTGACTTATCAGGGCCCTCACTTCCTAATTATATAAATGTCTAATCACTATGTTGTATACTTGACACATGATAACTGTAATTGAAAGATTTTTTTAATTTAAAACATTTAAAGAAATGAAATAAAATTTTAAAAGCCTGTCTTTATTGTTTTCAACCTTGTTTGAAATTAGCCCACAGACTACAAGCACTGTGAGGCCAGCTTCAGTATTACTTTTCCTCCTTTTACGGCTACCAAGATCGGCGTTAAGGGAACCGGAGGGTAAAAAGCCTGTCTTTTTACAAAGTTAACTCATGAAATAAAGCTCAATAGTATTTTGGAGGGAATATGTAAATGACAGTCTTGACCAGGTGGGCCAGCCCATAGAAACAACAGGGATGTGGGAGAGAGAGGAGGTTTTTCTATTAGGAAGGGTATGGGCTTCTAAGCTCTAGAAGAAGCAATCCAAATTTCATCTGAGACTGGGAATTTCTGGGAATACCCTGGCGCCTGCAGAAAGCTTGTGTCTGCAAGGCAGGTGCTGTGCTAACTAAGAGCAAGAAGCACTGAAGGAGGAAGCTAACGGGGGCGGGTGGGGAATAGTGAATTTGACTTTGCTCGAAACTGGTCACCAATGTGATAACTAAATATTTTCAATTTTGTCTACCAAAGAAAACTTTCAGAAGCATGTATCTCTATACTCATACTTAGATAAGACAGAAAAACAGAACCTACTTCTAAAAATTAGCTTCGTGTTTGGATGTGTATAGTCCACAAATATATTTCATATAGTAGCTCTCCCTGACCGCCATAGAATGCTCACTACTTGGTTAAAAGGAAAAGATCTTCATGTCTGGAACTAATTTCAGGAACTGGAAATAGGCAGCATAGTATGGCAGAAAATATTCTGGTGTAGGGATCAGAAGACCTGCATCTGGGCACAGCCCACCTCTTAATTTGCTGTGTGCCTAGGTACCCTCAACTCCTAAACCCATAATTTGGATTAAATCGGGACTCTGGCAGGATTCCAGTAAGCCAGAGGCCTCCCAGGAGGTGGTACCAGGGCAGCTGCAGAAGGGCCACAAGAAAGATGGGCAGGCGAGTGCCCTAATCCCTGCTCCAATCAGAGCAGCCCTACTCTCATTTCTATCAGATATCAGGCTTCTCCATAAGACATCTTTTGAGAAGAATTCTGCCTAAAAGAAATAAACAAAAACAAAGACACTGGATTCGTATCTGGAGTCTTTTTTTCTAAATTTCTATTATTGTTAAACTTACACCTATTTCCTATCCTCTTGATTACTTCTGTCAAGCCAGTGTGGTATGTCTACTTTATCTTTAGCCATTTGCATTGAAACAATGCATACTTTGTGAAAAGTACTATTGGAAATAGATTCTTATTTTTCATAGTGGCCCCTAGAAGGGTCCAGGGTCACTAAAATATTTCTGTAATTGACTTTCAGTTGTCTCTTGTTTCTATTTTGATGTTACCAAAATGAAAAATATACAAGACAAAATACAAATATATCAGTGACTTAATTAAAAAGTTTTGTAAGCACATCTTGCAGATTTTAACCTAACATTTAGAATGATGTGAAAGAGGCAATTTTCCTTTTTCTTAACTGGTTCAAATAATTTTGAACAAAACAAATCTGATAAGAATTTTTAAATTTAGAATTAAAAGTCTAGTTACCGTATAATCTCTTTAGCAGGCTTTCCTATAGAAAACGAGCTTTTCTCCTGGAGAGCACGCTTTGTGCTTTCTCCTCTGTTTGGAGGTCAGCACACACTCTTGGTTGGATGTCCCAGATACTTCTTTCATCCTCAGACTACATTTTCTTGGTCTTAGTTTTAT